TTCACTTATACTGATACTTTTTCACTGATACTTGTGCTTATTTCACTAATACTGGTACTTCTTTCACTAATACTTGTGCTTCTTTCACTGATACTGGTACTTCTTTCATTAATACTTGTGCTTCTTTCACTGATACTGGTACTTTTCTCACTAATATTGTTTAATTGGTAAAAATACTAGCATTAACTACTAGCAACAGCCAATAATAAAATCAATTATCATTACCTAGTGACCTACTATTCCCACCTATTACCCCACCAGTATTTCCCATTATATATGCTATTTCTCGGTACACTTCCTATTCCTACTAGAAATATCTACTAACCACTAATCATCCCTAATAACAATACTAACTAACCAATAGCCATTATAACTAGCAATACCCACCAGTAGTAAATCAACCACACCCCCTTCTCTCTTACCCCCTTCCTTCTACCCCCTTTCACCCTACTCCTCCCCCCTTCACCCCTCCCCTCCCCCCCTTAACCCCTCCCCTCCGCCCCCCCACACTTAACAAACAATGGCGCCGCTCAGGTTAATCTGATATTTTCGACCATAAACCCCCCTCCCCCGCCATGGATTAGGAAGACGTTAAGGGAAAGGGGAAGAGGAGAGGGAAGGGATGGAGAACGTAAGGGGAAAGGCAGAGGGGGGCAGGAGAAAGGGCAAAGGGGGAAGGGGGAGGGGAGGGGGAAGGGGAAAGGGCAAAGGGGAAAGGGAGGGAAGGGAAACGGGAAGAGGGAAGGGCGAAAGGGAAAGGGTAGAAAGGGTAAGGGGAAGGGCGAAGAGGGGAAGGGAAGGGGAAAGGGTGAAAGTAAGAAAGAGTAAGTGGAAAGGGCGAAGGGGGAGAGGGAAGGTGAAGGAGGAAGGGGGTATAGGGAAGGGGAAGGGAGGATATTCTTACTGATATCAACTGGCCAGAATTACTAGGGATTGACCTAAAAATTCATCCTTCTCAGATTATCCATGGATCACCTCCTTAGACAGTGGGAGGGGAGGGGGAGGGGGTAGGGGGAGGGGAGGGTGGGGGGGGAGGAAGAAAAGAGGGAAGGAAAGATTTTTAATTTAATAGATTTATTGACAAAGCTTGTAGTACAGTTTGCCTATTCTGAGTAATTCAGTCAGGTCTTGACACTGAGGGTGGTATCACTTCTCACTGCCACACAGGACAGAGGTTCATACACAAAGAAATAGATCATATTCATTAACAGTATATATAGGTCAGATTCATGTGGGTGATGTCACTGTTCACTGCCATGCAGGACAGAGGAAAGGGGGAGGGAGAGGGAGAAAGGAGAGGGAAGGAGGGAAAAAGGGAAGGAAGAAGGGAGGAGAAGGAAGACTGGAAGGGGAAATTGGCCCAGCTGTGTTTTCAAATTTTATTTTGCTATGTAATCTCTCTCTCTCTCTCTCTCTCTCTCTCTCTCTCTCGTTCTGTCCGTCAATTTATCTAATTTTGTATTTTTGAGTCAAAGATAAGAGAGAGAGAGAGAGAGAGAGAGAGAGAGAGGCGAGAATCAGACCACTAGTTTATGACCACTATGATAAGGTGGACAATGAGCTCCGTCACCTCATCATCCCCCCTCACCCAATCACCTTCTCTTCACCCCATCACCTCCCCCTCACCTCATCACCTCCCAATCACCCCACCACCTCCCTTTCACCCCATCACTGCCCAGCACCCCACTACCTCCCCCTCATCCCATCATCTTCCTATCACCCCATCACCTCCCCATCACCCTCAAACCTTCACCCCACCACCTCCCCATCACCCCCACCACATCCCATCACCCCATCACCTCCTTCACCCATCACCTCCCCATCACCCCCCCACTTCCTATCACCCCATCACCCTCACCTTTCCTTCACCTCACCTCCCTTCACCCATCACCCCATCACCCTCACTTCCTCATCACCCCCATCACCTCCCATCAACCTCACTTCCCATCACCCCCATCACCTCCCTTCACCCCATCACCTCCCCATCACCCCCCTCACTTCCTATCACCCCATCACTCCCCATCACCCCTTCACCTTCCTTCACCCATCACCTCCCCATCAACCCCTCACTTCCTATCACCCCATCACCTTCCTGTCACCCCCTTCACCTTCCTTCACCCATCACCTCCCTTCAATTCTCACTTCCTATTACCCATCACCTCCCATCCTTCACCTTTCCTTCACCCATCACCTCCCCATCACCCCCTCACTTCCTATCACCCATCACCTCCCCATCACCCCTTCACCTTTCCTTCATCCCACCACCCTCCCCTCTCACCCCATCAAGTAGGTCGCACATCATTACAATAAGTACACACAAAATGCCTTAATATCATCGTATCCTTTACTTAATTTCACATAAAAAAACCTAAAATGAAATAAAATAGCTACTTTTATACAGAGAAACACCGAACCACAAAAGACCAGATCAAACACTATCACAAACCCGTATATCTGATTGAATCTTTTTACACTAATCAATTTCAAGTAAAAAAAAAAAAGTAACATAAAAAAGTATAATTATTTTGATAAAGAATATAAACCCACAAAAGGGGGATTGGATCGGACGGTATTATCAATCAGAAACATCATAAAGGGATCCGATCGAAGGTGTGGAGAATTTACTTACGTTATTTATTGAGATTACAAACAATAAATTTACCGCCGTCACCAGGTACCGACAACAGAGCCACGGGATGCGTAATAAGAGAGTCTTGCTAACTCTTCTTCTTTTTCATTTTCTTCTTCTTCGTTCTTCTTCTTCTTCATATCCTCTTCGTCGTCTTCTTCTCTTCTTATCTTCTCCTCTTCTTCCCCCTCCTTTTCTTCCTCAACCCTCCTTCTCCTCCTCTTCTCCCCCCCCCTCTTTCACTCCTCTTCTTCTTGTCTCCTCCTCCTCTTCTTGCCCTCTTCTTCTTCTAAGTTGAAGGGGTGTGGGTGTGGTGTTGGAGAGGATGGTGGAGACAGGAGGGGGAAAGAGAGGAAGGGCTGATGGAGAGAGACGGAAGGAGAGAGATAGAAAGATAGGGGAATTAGGGAGAGAATTGAAAAGAAAGGAAGAGAAGATAGGAAGAGAGAAATACATAAAATACAGAAAAAAAGGAGAGAGAGAGAGAGAGAGAGAGAGAGAGAGAGAGAGAGAGAGAGAGAGCTGTGCTATCAATAGTATACAATATTTTTATTTTTAACTGATAGCCCGAGATAACAAACTCTGGTACCTACAATTGGGGTCAGTGAGAATGTGTTTACAACCTAACGATAGAGTGGGTGAAGTCGCGGGTGTGGTTGACCTAAGGTGTCATTGACTGAGTAATTAACCTTACATCTCTACTGAAATATACATGTTATTTACTATATGTGATTGAGTGGATGGTTGACTTAACACCTCTGCTGAAATGTGTGATTGAATGATTGCAGTAAATCCTCTAATATATTTATTGGTGAAAGAATAAACAGTTAAGAAAAATCAACTTATATGTGTAACACTAACCCATTAACACTCCCCCACATCCACCATGCGACAGTGACCCCATGAGGAAAGTACCTCTCCCCATACCCACTACTACTACCCCAGTACAGTACATCTATCATGACACTGCTACTTCCCATGTCTACCCTTACACGAGTACTTCCATGAGGAGACAGACAGTACCTACTCCTCCTCATAAGTAGCTGTCCTCATGAAGATCCCGGGATCCTTCTTCTCTCCTATTCACTGGTGTCCCTCATTAGGAAGTTGGTGACGGCCGTGAATCCTTCCGTCTTCCCCAAGGGCGTGAGGCTCCGGGTGGTGGCGTGGCTAGTGATGTAGGAGAACACGCCACGGTGTCCCTCGTTTACTGGAAATTGTGCATAGCGCGGTAACCTGATCCTCGCCACAAGCTGCGACCTCTTTGGTCACTCGTCCCGACACCCCACGTCCGATACATCCTACCAGACTTCATTTAAGAGAATCTCGGGTTAATCTTCTTGTTCTGGCGCTTTCAGAGGCGAAAATCTCTCTCGGTGCACGCCAGGTCTCGCCCAGGACGAGAGTATTCCACGGTTTAATCTTGGCTAGAGAGGTGACTCCCAAGGGGCTGTCGTCGAAGTCGTGGGGAGGGGGTGAGGAGGCGGGGTGGCGGTGGCCCGATATATGGGTATCTGCGGCAGGTTGACACCTCCTGACGGCGGGATGGATGGCGGCGGAGACCCCAGGGCCGCCGCCGGACACCCGCGATGAATGTGGACACCGCGGCTGCTGGACGGCCGCCCCGGCGCGCGTGGACACCACAGATTAATGGTCGGTGGGGGACACCCGGCAGGGGAGTTAACACGGCCGCCCAAATTGGTGGATAATTTGGGTCTGGCAAGTCCCTCCAGGCCCTTGACACCTGTGCAGTTTTAATACAATATTGAAAAACCTTTTGTGCTGCAGCGAACGTTAGGGAGGCAGCGGGTACTCTGTGACCTTTGAGTCCTCAACGCGGAGGACATATATATGAGAGAGAGAGAGAGAGAGAGAGAGAGAGAGAGAGAGGAAGGGGGGGGTAGGCACAGACCAAAAGACAAACAAACAGGAGAGAAAAGTTTTATCCAGGTCCAATCATGTGAAAATAACAACAACATTCTCTGTGTCACAACCCTCACAGCCCTCCAGCACTACCTCACGATATCTCCTGGATTGCACTTCACAACAACAACAACAACTTTACTACCGGTTGTGTGTTGCCCTCAGCAGTGTTATGAACGAGGGAGAGGAGGTGACAGTATAGTAGAGTACTCGTTCAGTGTACAAAGAACATGGGACAATAATATACTACCGCAGTTATAGAAAAATTTCACACAGATACAAACGTCCCTCTTGGTGAAGCATTGAGTTTTGTGGGAAAATTACACGTAGATTTTCTGTGTGTGTGTGTGTGTGTGTGTGTGTGTGTGTGTGTGTGTGTGTATGTGTGTGTGTGATATTAAGCAGGAAAAGACAACTTAAACCATTACTATGAGACACCTGTACTCACCTGCACTCATTAATCTCGAGGCAACAGGTAACAGGTGATGTAGCTGTCATCTTACCTGAGGCTTAACATGGTTCACCTCCTGACAACCAGTTCATCAGGTAGTCAGTAATACTCGTTCCTGATTGGTCCACCTCATCGACAACTCTTATTGGGGGGGGTGAATGCTGGTGTTAATTACCAGACAACATAAATCTGACGTCAAGGCATCCATCAAGACATCCCTTTCAAGACATCCATCAAGACATCCCTTTCAAGACATCAAGGCATCCATCAAGACATCCCTTTCAAGACATCCATCAAGACATCCCTTTCAAGACATCCATCAAGACATCCCTTTCAAGACATCCATCAAGACATCCCTTTCAAGACATCCATCAAGACATCCCTTTCAAGACATCCATCAAGACATCCATCTTTTCAAGACAGCCATCAACTCCATTTCAAGACATCTATCAAGACATCCATCAAGACAGACATCCATCAAGACAGCCATCAAGACATTCCAAGACATCTATCAAGACATCCATCAAGACAGACCACAAGACATCCATCAAGACAGACATCCATCAAGACACCATCAACAGACATCCATCAAGACATCCATCACACAGACATCCCTTCAAGACATCCATCCAATCATCAGACATCCTTCAAGACATCCATCACACATCCCTCAAGACATCATCAAGACATCCATCAAGACATCCATCAAGACATCCCTTTCAAGACATCCATCACATCCTCCCTCTCAAGACATCCATCAAGACATCCATCAAGACAGACATCCATCAAGACATCCATCCTCCCTTCAAGACAGCCATCAAGATCTCCCTCAAGACATCTATCAAACATCCATCAAGACATCCATCAAGACATCCATCAAGACATCCCTCTCAAGACATCCATCAAGACATCCCTCTCAAGACATCCATCAAGATATCCCTTTCAAGACATCCATCAAGACATCCATCAAGACATCCCTTTCAAGACATCCATCAAGACATCCCTTTCAAGACATCCATCAAAACATCCATCAAGACATCCATCAAGACATCCCTTTCACGACATCCATCAAGACATCCCTTTCAAGACATCCATCAAAACATCCACCAAGACATCCGTCAAGACATCCCTTTCAAGACATCCATCAAGACATCCCTTTCAAGACATCCATCAAGACATCCATCAAGACATCCCTTTCAAGACATCCATCAAGACATCCCTTTCAAGACATCCGTCAAGACATCCATCAAGACATCCATCAAAACATCCCTTTCAAGACATCCATCAGCCCGACAGAGTAAAGTATATCCATAACACATTTCTATTAGTGAACACATACAAGCAGGCTTCACAAGCGGGCGTTCATGTCGAACTAATCTATTAACATTCTTTTCATCAGCTTTCGAATCGGTGGACGAGGGGCACAATTATGATGTGGTATATCTCGACTTTAGCAAAGCCTTCGACAGAGTCCCCCACGAAAGACTAATTAGAAAGGTAGAAGCACATGGATTAGGGCGTGGTTACAGGACAGGAAACAGCGAGTGAGCATTAACGGCACTAAATCCCATTGGAGCAACGTCACTAGTGGAGTTCCCCAAGGCTCAGTACTTGGACCATTATTAATTGCTATATACATAAACGACATAGATATCGGCATAGACAGCAACATAAGTAAATTTGCTGATGACACTAAAATAGGACATGTTATTAAATCTGATGAGGACTCCGCAAAACTACAGGAAGATCTAAACAAATTTTTCGAATGGTCTGAAAAATGGCAGATGAAATTTAACGTGGATAAATGTAAAGTACTCAGTATAGGAGATGTAAACAGGGAAACTAGTTACCAGATGAACAACGATGCCATTGAGAAATCCGACTGCGAGAGAGATTTAGGAGTAATGATAAGTAGGAACCTTAAGCCAAGTAAACAATGTGTTTTTGCTCGTAACAAGGCTAATAAAGTACTTGGATTCATACACAGGAGTGTTAGTTACAAGACTAGCGAGGTCATCCTAAAACTGTATCTTGCGCTTGTGAGACCACACCTGGATTACGCAGTTCAGTTCTGGTCACCGTATTACAGAATGGATATAGAATACTTGGAAAGAATTCATAGGAGAATGACAAGACTAATCCCGGGCATTAGGAACCTTGAGTATAGAGACAGATTAAAGCATCTTAATTTGCACTCCCTCGAGAGACGTAGAGCGAGGGGCGACCTGATAGAGGTGTCTAAATGGAAGTCAGGGCTAAACAAAGGGGACATTACAAAGGTACTCAAACTATCCAACCAGGAGCGAACTCGTAACAATGGTTTTAAATTAGACAAATTTAGATTTAGCCTCGAAATAGGTAAACACTGGTTTGGTAACAGAGTAGTGGATGAATGGAACAAGTTACCAAATATCATCATTAACTCGAATACGCTGAATAGCTTCAAACATAGGTTGGATGCTTGCTTATATGAGCAATAGGGGTTGGGTGTAAACGGGACTGTCCAGTATGGGCCAACAGGCCTGCTGCAGTTTCCTCCATTCTTATGTTCTTATGTTTTTATGTTAGGTTAGGTTAGGTTAGGTTAGGTTAGGTTAGGTTAGGTTAGGTTAGGCTACGAGTCACCACATATGACCAATTGTGTCGAGGTTTCAGGCACTGTGGAGTCTGTCTGTCTGGAAGAAGAAAGAAAAACAAACCTTTGATAAACATGAATGAAGAAATAAGATAAATAGAAAGAATAGGATAGAATTTAATATTGAACTGATATCAGACTAAGAAGATTACGAGTGGAAATTATGTCAGTCCTGTGTTGTGATTATACCAATAGGATCCAGTAACAGTTAAGGTATTTATAAGTGACAAGTCTGAACAAAAAATCCATATTGACACGTGAATTTAGGATATGGTGTTCAGGATGTTTTTCAAGGATACCAACCAATGTCCTGAGGGATGTGGGGGAGGGTAGGGAGGATGGAAGGCAGGAGGGATGGCAGGAATTGAATTTTAATTGAATTGAAACAGTGTATTTAGCCAGAAAAATACAGATACAGAGTGGATAATATTAACATGGCTGAGCCAGTTGAGAACCTGAGCTCTCTTTGAGGCACCTGATATATACTATACATTTATCTCAAGGAAGTATTATGTAACATTTAGTATCATCTGGAATAGTACAATAGCATGGTGGTAATAAGAACATCTCATAATGTTACCACGGTTATCACTTGAATATTTATTAATTTTATTTATTTATTATTATTATTTTTATTTTTTATTTTTTTTATTATAAGTATATACATAAATTACAGTGGAATTGAAAAACATATATATAATGGGGGAGCAGTACAACATGGGTTGTACAGTATTAAGGTTGAACAAGAGGACAGAGCTGTCAGGATTAGGGTCTAGTTGGCAGTTATGTTTATTGCAATGGTAATTTCTTATCTATTTACATGATAATTTCCGATAAACTGTTTTCATTTTACAATAAAAGCAGGTATTACAGGAAATATTAATACTTAGACAATAGATATTTTCTAAGAGATGATTTAAAAGAAGGGAGCGTAGTCTTTGCTCGGATGTGTGGGGGTAAGTTGTTCCACACTTTCACACCTTAATATTTTATGGAGGTCTGGGACTGAGAGGATGGCATGGGTGCCTTAAGTTGTATCTCTGATTACTCGGGAACTGGAAATAATTATTGTCAAGCAAGTGATTGATAGATTTGTAAACAAAGAGGGCACAGCAGTAGGTGCTAATATCTTCGAATTTTAACATTTTCAATTTAGCAAATTTTTCGTTTGTGTGATCTGTTTTTTTCAAGTAGGTCATTGTCCGTACAACTCTCTTTTGTGCAGTAACCAGGGATTGTGTTTTTGAAGAGCCACAGGCCCCCCCATAGTGTGTGACAGTGTATCAGGTGTTGGTAAACAAGATCATAATAGATTGCTTTCATTGCTGTAAGAGTGAGTGACTGACGAGTGTGATACAGGATACCTCACTGTTTATTGACTTTACTGTGAATGGCTTGTATGTGGTTTGTTCAGTTAAGTTTCTCATCAACAATAACTCCGAGGAATTTAGTATTTTCGCATTTGAGGACAGGATTACCAAGGTACAGCGGGTCCAAGTCGGGGGGTAATTTTTTCTTCTGTGAAAGATCGTGTAGTGGGTTTTCTCAAGGTTTAAGGTCAGCTTATTACGTATTACCCAGGTCCTGAATCTATTCAATTCAGTGTTCATAGTTCTCATCAAGAAATGGAGGTCTGAGTTGCTGGCATAGAGATTACTATCGTCTGCAAATAAGATGTATTTTATGAGTGTGCTGGCGTGGACTATGTCGTTTATGTACAACAAAAACAGTACTGGACCGAGAATGGAACCTTGGGGGGACGCCATACAAGATTGGCGAAGGGTCAGATTGGTGATTATTATAGCAGACATACTGCTTCCTGTTGAACAGATATGAGGTAAACCAACTGTGGGGCAGGCCCTTAATGCCGTAATGTTCAAGCTTTGAAAGGAGGATGGTATGGTCGACAGTATCGAAGGCTTTAGAGAGGTCCAAGAATATACCGACTGTGAACTGACTGTCATCAAAGGAATTTAAGATGTCATTAGTAAAGGATAGCAGAGCACTCTCAGTCTACCTTCTAGCTCTAAATCCAAACTGGGAGTCTGTAAAGATGTTATTGACACTGCAGAAAGAATTTAGTGTACTACATGCTAGCTTCTCCAGTATCTTACTCAAGGCTGGGAGGACTGATATGGGGTGGTAATTCTTTAAAAGACCTTTGTCCCCAGATTTTTATATGCTGAGTGAACTTTAGCAATTTTCAGTTTATCCGGAAAGACACCACTAGCTAGTGAAGGAGGAGTTACAGATGTGCAGGAGAACAGGTAGTAATAAGTGGGCTACTTTCTTAATGGTGCCCATTGTTGTATTATCTTCGCCTGCTGCTGCATCAATGGACATTTTTATGATGCCCAGTAATTCATCTGCTGTGACAGGAGATAAGAACAGCTCATTTTGCTGTCTGTTTTG